TTTATCGTATGCGGTTCCTTGCAGTTTCTGGTTTCTCAGCTGTGATTGGCTACCCGAAAGGGCAAGATGGAGCTATTTTACCCGTTCGGGACTACTCGCCGTGTCCCGCAAGGAAAATTTCCCCGAAAGCCATATAATAAATCCTGTATTGACCAAGCTTGCTCGGTCAAGATGGCTGGATATTGGCCTCGTTCTTTTTTTTGCGAGTTTATGGGCCTCAACTCCCTCTCGGTCCATAAACTCGCAAAAAGAAAAGAACTTGGCCAATATCCAGCCATCTTGACAGAACAAACTTGGTCAATAACCCATACATATTTTCATGATTGGTCCGATTTGGTGATTTTTAAATAACTTTTTGGGACCCCAATTGAGACATACTCCTCTTAATTATTTTCCGTAACCATATGAGTTCAGATATTTGTCTTAAAGAGACATATTTGCACTTCAATTTCGCAAGTTGTTTTATTTTGCGACATCATTCTCAAATGATGTCATTTGTTAATTAAACGACTTTGTGTCAGCGAGAAAAAAATTGCAACACTGGAGTAGCATTAGCACTGGGGTAGGGGGGAGGGGGGACCGGTTAATTTCTGGGTCGAGTACAGGGCGGGTGCGCAAAAAGCCCAAACTATAAAATCTAATTCCTGGTGAAATTCTGGATTGAACTGAGTAGCCATGTATATTACGTAAACTTTAAAACTTCCTTTAATAATTTACTTTTTTTGCTAGAAATCCGGACACACATCACGGTTATTTCAGACCCGCTGACCAGGTTAGCTGCAGTACCATTTATTTAATCTCAATAGATGTTACAATTGTTTAGCAAGACATTTCGGAAGGTTTAAACTAGGTTTACGAGCACACGAAAGAAACTCCTGCAATCCAACAGCTTGGAATAAACGGGGAACCCGACCTAGGGATAATATTAGCACTCTTAAGTTTCAAAGTTGTCGTTTCTCGACATACTACCGCACAAATTGCTTGCTAACATAGGATCTTACTGGAGTCTAACTATATATCAACGCTAAAGAAACATTTCATTACTGTATGACAAAGTAAATGAAGATCAGGCTTGAATTCTCCCGCACGGCGGAGGCTGACCCTAGAATGTCCTACCATGCTAACCTCTCGGAGATACCATTTACAGACTCTAAGCCTATTAATTCACTGCGCGCTTCAAACCCGTCCCAAGCTCCCTGCGCCACGCCCGTGCAGAATAGGTTTGTCGCAAATTACATTATATGACTGCCATCGATCTTACATACCCATGTACCTTCAATAACATCACTTATCTCTTTGGTTACTGTATATTAAATGTTCTTTTCAGTTTTTTATGAGAAATGATTTTAAGTTGAATGACGATGAAGCAATGATTTCCAAAACTGTTTAATTGCAACGCGCATCGCTGGAATACGCCAACAGTAAACCAGGGGATTGATTGACGAGTTAAGATAAACAAGAAAGGCTGACCATCTCAACATAAATATTCTGCGAGGCGAGATAGGCCAATCGGTGAAGGCAATAAGAGCGCGAACGCAAATATAAGGAGTATAACAGATAATAAGTAACATTAGTAAGACTATCATGGTGATGAGAGATTTTCTGTAACGCTTCATGTCAAAGACCTCGGCTTGGTTTGGCAGTGATTGATTCTGAATCTGAATTCGGTGCCGTCGACAAATGCGATAAATCGTCGAGCACGTCGATGTGTTTATCACGATGCATAGAGTGACAACGAAGAACGAAACTGGGCGACGTAGCTCGTTGTCAATGAGGAACGTTACGGCATACACCACGCTTGCTAGCCAGATGAGGCAGAGTACGAGGATAGTTTTCTTTACGGTAACGACAGCAACGTATCTGAGATGCAGTATGAGAGCAAGACATCTGTCCACGCTGACCGAGGTGAGCGTCAAAATTGTAGCGGAGACGAAGAAGGCTTGAATGGATCTGAAGATTAGACGAAGAACTGGATATTTTTCTCGGCTCACTTCGTAAATCAAAACCACAATGAACAACGGCTGGACAATCAAACCGACTGCCAGGTCAGACAGCGAGAGTCCCAAGAGTAGAATATTAGTTGGTTTATGTAAAGTTGGCTTGCTCCAAATTGCGCCGAGGACGAGGAAATTTCCAGCAAAGGCCGTCAGCGAGAACACCACGTTTAGAACGCAGACAGCGTCGTAAAACGCGGCGTAACTCTCGCCTCCCCATGTGGGATTATTGCTTTGATTTGAGTTGTTGTACATTGCTGTAAAATTTCACGGCTTGTTGAATCTGAATACGAGTATAGACAGTCCGCCCTCATGCACGGTGTGTCGTGTTTAACTGGTCTGCTGTGGAGTACCTCAAGTAAATCAGTGATTACATTATACCCATTTGCTTGCCAGAGAATAAAGTCCATTAAGGCCTAGATTGAGTGGGTCGTTGCCTTAATAACATTTCTTTTGTTTTAGACAAGTACTTGTCTTTAAAGGCTTTTAGAAAAATGTAGTAATGACCGATACGGCGACTCTTTTCTAGTTCTCAGAAATAAAAGTGAGTTTATTTTTAGTATACCGCTTGTGAGCACTTAGAAAACTGATTTAATCGCAATTGAACAGCATTTAAAACTTGACCTTTAATTAAAATTTTTGGGCAGTTGAACTACTCAGCTCTATACTTTGCAGCATTTTCAGGTCATTATCTTGAACTGAATTAGTGACAATTAAAGTGGAGACATAACGTCAATAAATATGAGTTACTTTCCTCAACTACCGCCTGGCACTTAATTTTTGCGCGGGAGTTAAATTTTGCGGATTTTTCGAGAACTAATTTTTGATATTGCAAAAGAGTGGCTTTCTTGTTGAGCGGTAATTTTTGTGATTTTCAGAAAGCCGCGTTTGACTGGAATTCAGCATTTTCATCTTTTTGATCTGACTACATGCAACAACAAGTGGAACAATTTGCCGCGATGTAAATTGTAAAACACTGTAAACAGTGTCACTCAGTATTAAAATTACATCTTGCCCTTGTGTGACTGTTGCTTCTGCAATGGATCAGCAATAACTACGGTACCACTTGATGTATTATCACACCTGCAGTGTACCGACGGCAATTTATCGTTTTATTTCTGAACGTTTTGATTCTAATTTCATCGTTTTGTTTCTGCAGAAAGAAACGTTTTAAGTTAATGGCCCTTAAAAGATTCTACTTATGCTTTTTTGTATGCACAATTTTGCCAATGGAGTACTTTTTTGGGAAGAAAATTTTTGCGGTAACCTTTTTTGGGGATCTTGGAAAAAATCGCAAAAATCGCAAAAATTAGAACCCGCAAAAATTTCGTGCTAAACGGTAGTCAATTACTATGATGGGATTAGAATGGATCATTTTTCATCAAAGGAAGCCGATAAATAATTCGATCTCATTTTGTGTTGTCATTTTTTACGTACTTTTGGCAGTTAGCAGTCTTAGCGATAGATTTTCACCGCCAATTCTAATATTTTTCACGAAACACGACAACTGAGTAGATGAAACTAAGTTGGAATTCTTTTTTTAAGGTTTCGATAAAATGCTTTCAAAACAAATAAATACCCAGATCTGGACTAGAAATGTTTTTCAATGCAAAGCTTTATGGTCACTTATTTTCGTGAGTGTTTTTTTCTTATTTTCCGTGTTCAACAATTTCTAATTAAGAGCGCTGTTTATTTAACGACACCTGTGATATATGAAACGAATGTGTGTTCATTAAGTGAACAAGTTGTTATTGTTATATTGACGTATATGGAACAGGTTAATTACCACAACAACAGCTAGAATAGCTTGTCAAAAACGCCCTTAATCTTAGCTAGGCCTTCCCCTAGATTTCACGTAAAATCGCCTATAATTATATTCCGTTAATTCTAAAAAATATTTAAATAAGACAAAAATGTTTTTAAATGTCTCCAAAAACCCTCTAAATATCTTATGCTTGTTTTAAAATAAACCGATTTTTAATGACTTAGACAATAATTTTCAAATTTTCCATGAGAATTTTCAAACTTTCCATGAGAAGAGGATTCAGGCTTATCGATGTTACCAGCATTCGCCATCTTGAAAGATTGTTGTGTTAGAGTTTTTAGTGAAATAAAATATAATTTCAAGTAGGGAACCGCTTAACTGGGTGGTTTCTGGCACCAAAGAACTGAGTATTGTTGCAAGAAGATAGCGAGGAAAACACAGGCGGCCAAAAGAGCTATGAATTAAAATTTTAAATACTGATCTCTCAGTGTCTGTTTTACGTGTTCATAAACACGGACAAAAAAACCAGGCCAATACCCAGCCATCTTGATCGAACAGGCTAGGGGAATTAATTATTTGTTATATGAAAAAAAAAACCCCGCAATTTTTCCTGCGGGACACAGCGGGTAATCCCGAGCAGGCCAGATAGCCTCATCTTGCCCGCGCGGGTAGCCAATCACAGTGCAGGATTCGCTTCATCTTGACCGTTCAAGGAGCTAGCCATATAACAAATTTGAATAACGATCTGTATACTTTTTTATTAAACAACACATTCAGTTAATACATTTATACTTAGGTAATTTTTATGCCGTCAAAAGGAACACTGCGTGTTTAGTATGCAGTTGACGACGCCAAACTTGGCGTAGCTTTTGTGTGTTCTGGTGTGGGATCATTTTTTTTATTTGTTTCAGTGTAGCCCACTGTAAAAGTCAACGGCTCCGTTTGTACGCTTGTGGAGAACTCGATAGGCTCTCTGTGTCGTGTTACACTAGTTGGAACACCTCACATTAATTCTGTTACACTTATTTGTTTGCCAGGGAATGAATTGATAATTAAATGAAATGCATGCAGTCGAACCTCCACTAACGGCCAGCTCTCTGTAAAGGCCACCTCTCTACATCTGCCCCTGTAGTGGCGAGGTCTTTTAGAGGACCTTTTGAGCTAGCTTATGACAAAAAATTGGAACAAACTCGTTCCGTTGTCTTAAAATGTACGTCTGTTATGTTTATAATCCCTAATTAAGAGAGTCGTTAGGTCTTTTAAAATGACTTTATGTAATTTACGATATAGTCATTTGTTCACGATCACGAAAATTTTGTAGGATGTAGCGCTTACAACTGAAAGCTTGTCGCAACGAAAGGCGAGGAAACTGTTACAATGTCTCGCTAGGATAGTTTTGTTGTACATGTATCTTCTTGCAGCAGTTCCAATTGTCGGGCCACCTATTTCTCGCATTTAGCGCATATACAGTTAACTGTTACCCGCTGAGTGAAAGCGACTTTTCTATTCCCCGTGATCACGTTGTACGTCCTCATCTCATACACTGGCTGGCATTTCGGGAGGCCGCAACTGCCAACGTTATGCAAACACTGGAAAGAAAACTCTTTACATATTGCAACCACGCCAGATGCATTGAGAAGCCTCCGCTTTACACACTTGTTGTCTCGTCGGATGTGGCTTGGGAAAGACAGGTCTGGAAGTGTGACAGTGGCGAGAAGAAGGAAACACGCGGTTACAATAGACACACCCTGAAACCAAAAGTCAAAATATAGTTGTAGTACTGTATCTTTCATAAGTCCGTTTTCCTACCAAGGTGGCTGGGTCATACCATTGTAGGAAACTCAGTTCCTCTAGAGGAGAATGTTTCGCTTAAATTTTACACGATTGTAACCAATTAAATGAAAGATGTTAAATTTGAACAGCGGAGAAAGATGAAAAGACATGAATAACTTTCGCAGTTGAGTCTTCTAAACATTTTAAGCAGCTGGGCAAAAATAAATTCTGAAAAAATTCAGGCTTGAACGTGATTCGCATCGAGCCCAAGAATTTTGCGATACCGGTGCAGCCGGCTCTACCAATAAAAAAATTAAGCCAACTGGGAGCTGGTCAATATGTGAATTCGTAATTTACCTGTGGATGGCGAAGAGAGTAAATGCGCATTTTTTCAGACGTTATTTTCACAACTCCTGAAATTGTGTACATTCCGCAATCCTCGAACTAGCGCCTACCCTCAAATAAGCGCCCCCTTTGAATAAGCGTCCTTCCTGTCAGCCAAAATTTAAAATAAGCGCCCCTCTTCCCTCCCCTAGTGTATGTAAAAGTGCTGAGACAACAGAGGATGTATAGTTTTGGTCGTGTTCAATGGCAAACAAGTGATGTTCGACTTATTCAAGCTCTGCAACGGATGGTAGTGAAGATCTGCTGATTCATTGGCTAAAGCCCAACCAACCTTACGCAGCAGCCTTAGACCGGCTAAAGGGGTTATATTACGTAGTTCTTCAAGAGAGACAGGATCATTCTGAGACTTCTGAGGGACTGACACACACATATAGTGCAAAAAACCAATCATATCTGACCAAAATTTGGGAAAAGTTAAATTGGT